TCTCTCTGATGTCTCTCTCTCTGATCTCTCTCTCATTCTCTCTCTCTCTCTGATCTCTCTCTCTCTCTCTCTGATCTCTCTCTCATTCTCTCTCTCATTCTCTCTCTCTTATTCTCTCTCTCTCTCTCTCTCTCTCTCTCTCTCTCTCTCTCTCATTCTCTCTTGTTGTATTTCCCCACCTCAGTAGTATCAGGTCGGAAAAGATGACTCATTCGGAAAGATTATTTTGCTTTTTGTTTTGTCTTGTATTAAAATTTGTTCTGTTTTTCATATGTGAAGAGTGTTGACAAAATGAGTTACTTCTCGCAGTCATCGAATGGAGATAGTGGACTAAAATCGACATAGGGGTCAAATTTTTAGATCATTAACGGATGCCATTTTCTTCAAGTCTAACATTTCTTTTTAAATCATTTCATGCAAATACATTATACAAACCCAACAGATAAATTTGACGTAACTATGTCCATTGGGCTAAAAATCTGAGAGGTAACTCATTTTGTCAGCACGCCTCACATATATGCAAACAGCGATAAGTGACCCAGGCATTTGTTACAGTACGTTGCCAACCTTATAGCAACATGTTAGCAAATTGAAAAGGCATTAGATATAACATAATAGAAATAAATAAACGTAATTTATAACTTTTTTCAATTTTTTTTTCTGCCCACAGACCAGCTGATGGCGAGATTCTGATACATATGTGGCGACAGGAAGTCTAAACAACGAGCAGGAGTGACGTAGAATTGTGTGCAGTTTTGAAACATCGGTGGTCTAGGCCTTGAGAATAAAATTATAGACCTACACCGTAACTGTTTACGTCATCAATCGCATCCATGACAAGAATCTAGCGTCTTCGAAGCCTTACAACGTTTTGACGTCATCACTTTCTGTGCACACCTCCCACAGAGCAAGCCTCGATTTGGTGAAAGAGATAATAATCTGATATTGTTAGGGGTGACAACTCCCGTCTCAGAGCGGGCTTCCCCTCAGCTATGAAAAAACTAATGACGTCATATGACGCGGACAGCGTCCATCACGCCATGGGTCTGACCCAGCTCCGCCCCCACGCCATGTCGCCCACCCCGACCTTTGACCTGTGTCTGGACGACGGCTATCAGAGCCAGTTCCTGTCCCTAAGGACTGCCGAGCAGGCGTGCCGCGAGAGCTTCATGGACGACACCAGCTCCGGCTCCTCCCTCGAAGACTGTCTCCACCCACAACACGTAGGCCATGCCCCGGTCACGCCCACCACCACCACCACCACCACGGGGTTGGGCGTCTCAGCACAAGCCCCGCCCACTTCCCTGTCGCTCAAACACCCGCCTCTTCGGGGTCAGAACAGACGCTTCAACCACAGTGAAAACAACAACTCTAGTAACTCTAACCTAAACAACAACAACAACAACAACAACCATCACCATCACCACTATCACAACAACAACAACAACAACAACAACAACAACAACGAAAAAGAGGACGACCAGCCGGACAAAGAGAGCCTGGTACATCTATCCCGCGAAGAACGACGGCGACGTCGGAGGGCGACCCAGAAATACCGCACTGCCCACGCCACAAGAGAGAGAATCCGGGTGGAAGCTTTCAACGTGGCCTTCTCCGACCTCCGGAAGCTGCTGCCAACTCTTCCGCCTGACAAGAAACTGTCCAAGATAGAGATTCTGAGACTTGCCATCTGCTACATCTCCTACCTCAACCACGTCCTCGACCTCAGCTGAACCTCCAGGCCAGTTTCCAAGGTCACGTGACACGTGACATCATTGGCAGGGTAGAAGCAGCCGGCCTCCTAAATTAAAACCTAATTAAATTGTCTTGATGGAGGCGTAAAAAACATCCAACCGATCTCTTTTACAACCTACACAGTGTTGTTGTGAACATCAAACATTATTATATTATTATGACGTCTCGCACGTCATCCCTGTTATACGTTAAACTATGGTACATTATTGGGCACACTTGGAGCTCAAGTCAGTTTACAAAGGGTCAACTTTAAAATTATGTATATTATGTATATTATCGTTACCTTATATTACAACATTCTATCTGACATTTTTGTTATTGATGTTTTGAGTAACTAAGACCATGAGGTCAATAATCAATAAATGTTAATAATACTAATAGATAGCATTTGTATAGCGCATATCCTAGCTCAACAGCAGGCTCTATGCGCTTTACACTATATTATTACCCCGGCAGA